CATAGAAAATAAAAATGCCATCGAAATAACTATGCCCAGACCCCGGAATAGTGCATAGGCATCTCCTACAGGGAAGCCATGATGCAGAACCTTATTTTGTGGAACCCCAAACCCTATTCTTACTACTTCACATTCCTTCCAGCCTCATCACTCCCTTCTGGTTCTGGTCTAAAGGACTCTACTCTTGGGCAAATCAGTAGTGTTTGATTATGGATGTATCTCCACTTCCAAGTGACAGCTAGAGCAGATGGAGGCACAGTGACAATCATGCAGAAGGGACAGCAGGGATGAAAACAGCTTTCCGCCATTCTCTTTTTCTCCAGATATGTTGTGGTACCTTCACCCAGAACTCAACCTCGGCAGCTTGTATGAACCTAATCAGTTTCTGGACTCAGCTTCCTCAAAACGGTTCTCTCTTGTCAGGCTAAGATTTCCCATCAACATTTCATTGTTTGCAAAACAGTACTCCCTATACAGTGGGTGGGTGTTAGTTATTTGCTGAGTACTTGGTAAATGTGACCTGTGAAAATAGCAACAAAATCACATTGATCATGCTGTAATGTTGTCTGTGGGTAGCTTTATACACCGGAGAATTGAGATTCACTAATTCAGAATTTCTTACAAAGTGGTGAGAGATTGAGTTTACCTCTGCCATAGCACATGTCCTGTAAAATCAGTAATGCATAGGACTTTGTTCATTACATAGAGGGGTCTGAAAATATGTACAGATCCTTTTTAAATGCCATTTCGACCTTATTATCTATTGCAGGAGTATTTGGAAACAATCAAGAGATGCTACTTCTTTATTTTCCATTGAGAAGCTAATTATTTCTTCATGAAGGCAACTTGCCCTTAGCCCCTCCCCCCCATCCAGTTAATGCGTGTTGCCTTAAGAACTATTTAGATGCTTTTTCCCCCCTATTAGTACAAATTAAGATGGTTTTGCTGTATAACCAATTAATGTCCTCTGTAAAAAGGTGACATTTCTTCTCTTGGTGACATGGCAGAGAAATGCTGAGGTCTGCCAGACTTTTCATTCCTCCTCTGGCAACTAAAAGAAAATGAAGTCTTGCACCTAAAGCATAACCATGTTTTTGTGGCTGAAATCAACACCCAGAGTCAGGGAGTGCTGTTATTGCCCTGAGGGATGCAATTACATTTGGCCTGGGAACCAATAGTAAGAACAGCAGCAATGATGATGATAATAATAATAAAAATAATAATAATAATCCCTGCACAGCATCTCTAATACCTGTTGCCCAGTCTTTAATTTCCAGTTGATCACCATTTCTAACATGGAAGGAAGTTGAAGTCATACAGGTAGTTGGAGAACTCCTGGAAGATGCAAAAATGGCTTCATTTCTAGGTAGCCATCACTGAGTCAGATTGGTTTTTGTCTGAAGAGTATTCAGGAGTTCTCATATCCCTCAGAGGTAGCACAAATCAAACAGGATGTCATGTCACACCAGAATCCAGGGCTTCAGTGAGTCTCCAGATCACACTAGGAGAAAGTTCCAATCTTTGTGGAGTAACACAGAGGTACTCCCAGCTTGATGCTCTGGTTATTGGCCATGGGCAGGAAGCAGGGCCTCCCATTTCTGGATCCTGGAAATGAATTCATGGAGAATCTACGGAGGTCTGTTTCCTAGCAGGGCCAGGAGATAGTAGCTGCCAAGATGTTGCCAGTCACGCCTTGGCACCTGCTGGGAATCCCCTGAGCACACTCTAGTTTCTGTAAAATCCAATACGGATAAGTGAAATCCCTCTTTAAAGTGAGTCTAAGTGGGAGTGGGAGGCATTTGCATGTATGAAACATCCACACCGAGAGAGAGAGAGAGAGAGAGAGAGAGAGAGAGAGAGAGAGAGAGAGAGAGAGAGAGAGAGAGAGAGAGAGAGAATATGAGTGTACTACTATTGGCTAATAGTTAAGATGGAGTGTTGCCTTGGCCATCTGGGCCTGTGAGATCCCCAAGCCCAGGGGCCATTAATTCCAGAGAATTTAGTAAGGAACCCTACCCCAAAACAAGGTTCATTTGAATAATAGAAACATGCTCATTGAGGATCTTTATCCCCAATTGTTTCTATATGATTGGCAAACATCTTAATGACACAGGTGGATGTGAAGCCAGTGCTCATAGAGCATAAACTAATGCTGAGAAGTCAGAGAGGAAGGATTAGAAGAGAGACTGCATGGTATGGAAATGGAAGTGGGGTCCTAGCTGGACTCGCTGGCTCACGCTGGTGTGCGCTAGCTCTGAAAGCTTGAAAAGGTATTTCTCCTTTGGCCCCTCTGCTTCTTCATCTGAAAAAAGTGGAAATAGCAATAATGCCTAGTCACAGGTCCTGGTGAACATAGGGCTTCTTAAAATGTAGAAAGTCTGCTGAACTGTGCTTAGAGACTGGGTACTCAACAAGTGTAGCTTAGTATTTCCAGTACAACATTTTAAGAGTAGTAAGTTCACAAATGGGTCATTACACAGTAGAAATTTTACAGAGGAATAATTAGTGACTCAAAAACCTTATCTGAAAATCTCAGAAGCTTGTCTACATTTCTCACAGGGAAATAAACTGAGGCTTCATGTATGTGATGTATTGTGAAATTTGTTACTGTTTAAAAATGAAACACTTGCCGGGCGGTGGTGGCGCACGCCTTTAATCCCAGCACTCGGGAGGCAGAGGCAGGCGGATCTCTGTGAGTTCGAGGCCAGCCTGGTCTCCAAAGCGAGTACCAGGAAAGGTGCAAAGCTACACAGAGAAACCCTGTCTCGAAAAACCAAAAAAAAAAAAAAAAATGAAACACTTATTCAACAAACATTTGCCGAGAACTCGTGAGTTAGCAACACAGTACACAGTATGATATTGTAAGAATGCATACAATGTCTTCACCACGCTCCCTGGGCCTTCAGAAAAGATACTGGATCCATACATGTGGCTGAAGAATCCACACAGTGTTTCAGTAAAGACAGGTTATTCACTCAGTTCCAAGTGCCCTGGTGTTCACAAAGTCACAACATGAATTAAGTGAAGTGCTAGACACAGTGCTGATAGCCTGCTTGGTGGCTACACTACAGGTGACAACCCAGAGAAGACACTCAATGTTCTTTATGATATGAATAGCGTTGACCTTAAATCAGACATGAGACATCAACACAGCAATATGAACCTAGGACATAAAACAAATATAAATTTTATGATTAATTTGCAAGCAGATATCACTTTTAATGAGATGAAAAAGCAGGCGTTGCTGTTCCTACTCAGTCAGAATGTGTCTAGCATCAATCAGTCCCAGGAAGTACAAGAAAACTCTAGTGAGCTCATTCTTGGTTTTGCTTTCTGCTTTTGGAGATAGCATCTCATTGCAGTCCATGTTAGCCTTGACATTTTCTGGTGCCCAGGATGGCCTTTAATTCACACTATTTCTCTTGCCCCAGCCTCCCAAATTCTGAGATTATAGACGTGAGCCACCACACAATGTCTAGAATGTGTGTGTGTGTGTGTGTGTGTGTGTGTGTGTGTGTGTGTGTGTGTCTCAGCGGAAGCCAGAGATCTACCACAATTGCTGTCTACCGTATCTTTCAAATGGGATCTCTGATGGAGGCCCATTTTCCAGTCAAACAACCTGAGACTCAGAGACGTTTCTATGGCACAGAAGCTTCCTGGATCCGATTGCCCTCATGACCAGTGGCCACTCCAGAGGGCTCCTTAGCTCTGCCAGATTCACTGATCCACCAGCATTTGTGATTATTTAGCTCTTTGATTTTTCTCTGGATCTAGTTGGCCGGTTGCTTTGCTGATAAGTTCTGGTGTGTTTTCATTCACACATTGCCTTGAAGCATCATGATTACCTACACCACAGTGTCCGAAGCTTCCTGTCAGCAGTATGTGGATAAGAGACAGCAGCCCTTATTCAAATGATGTTGTCAGAATCTGAATCCTCTGCCTCAAATCATCCAGTTATGGCCAGAGTCTATCAACAAATGATTGAAAATTTTAAATTAGCTTGTTAAACTTTTTATGGGCAGAAATTATGTCTTAGTTTTTTATTAATCCTAGTCCCAGTGGTTAATAACCATATAACAGAGGTGAAGTGCCTGCCCCTGGATGATGGCTTCACTTTTACTGAGTTGTAGGTTTTTTCTGCGGTGAGCATAATCAATATTAATAGCTGTAATTGTAAATAGAAATGATTATGTTTTACATCAAGTTCACTGGTGTGGCACAGCCCTGTTCTGTGGTCAATGAGCCTGTAAGGCTGAGATTCACATTTGGATTAAACCGAAGCTCTGTCTGGTTCGTGGAGAATCTTTACATCAATTGAAAGCATTACCATAACTGCAAAGTCAGTTATTACCAGAGCCCAAGCTCAGCTTGGCTCTTCAGAGTAGGGAAAGTTCTTTCTACCCATTCTCATGTATCTTCCCAATTGCCTTTGCATTCATCTCTGCCAGATCCCAGGATGGTAGCATTTGAAGCAATTGCTCTTCCTCCGAACACCATTTCCTGTGATTGGACAAACTCTTAAATGCTATTCTAAAATGAGAATCATAGTAGTCACAACCCAAAACAGTTGTTAAATGGGGGATTTTGTGCAAGCCATTTAGAACGTACCTGGCATTCAGCATTCCATGTGTATTTGCTATTATTCTTTGGTCGTGGGCCCCACTTGTATCCTGCGACACAGTTTTGCATCCTATTCTGTCATCCCTCCTTCCATTGTGAGACCAGGATGAGGTTCAAGTTAGCCTGCAGGTGTGTGCGGGTCTCCATGGGCGAGAAGGAAAAATGTGTGCCATGCGTCAAAGGCAAGAAGCAGCTGCAAGGCTGCTGCCTATAGTAGTAACCTGGGAGCTTTGCCATTTGCCTTTTGGTACAAGAATTCCTTAGGAGAGAGCATGCATTGATTACAACTCAACGACCTGTAGAAGTCTGCCTCATGCAGTGTGCTCGAGATGATACCATGTACATTTGCCTTTATCCCTTCCGGTTTTTGTATTTGACAGCTCGAAAGTCAAAGAAGCTGGGGAAGTTAAAAGGCCTTCACGAGGAGCAGCCACAGCAGCCCCCGCCACCGCCTCCACAGAGCCCGGAAGAGGGGACCACATACATCGCTCCTAGCAAGGAGCCATCCGTGAACTCCGCACTGGTCCCGCAGCTCTCCTCCATCACGCGTGCACTCACGCCATCCCCGGCCATGATCCTGGAGAACATTGAGCCGGAGACCGTGTACGCCGGCTACGACAACTCCAAGCCTGACACTGCAGAGAACCTGCTCTCCACGCTCAACCGCCTGGCAGGCAAACAGATGATCCAGGTCGTGAAGTGGGCCAAGGTACTTCCAGGTAGGATGGCGCACGGCTCAGGCTCGGTACTAATGGTGCCCTGGTGTCCGCTCTGCGCAGCATCCTGACATGTCTATCAAAGACACCAGAGTGGTGGGAGAATTCTGGACACTGATTCATTTCTTTCCTTCCAAGAATGCAGGTCTGTGGTTCTGTTGTTCCTAAAACAGGAGCACGGCTGGTGTTCGCAAATATATATATAAATGAGGCACAATCCCTTCTGTTGCTGAGGTCACACTGAGCTGGCTCTGGCCAGCACAGTGCCCTAGTTCATCTAAGCTCAGGCCCAAGGAACTTAAAGCCTTGTGAAACACCCTGACCAACTCTTCTGGTTAAAAAAAAAAATCCTGCTTGGGACTCAAGAGGTGGTCTGTAAAGTGCCTGCACACACCTGAGTTTAGATCCTCAGAAATATATATAAATATATATTGTAATAATGATATATATTATTAGATGTATATAATATTATAGGCCTGTCTTGCAGGCCTGTAATTCCAGCACCAGAGAGAGACAGGAACTCTGGAGCTTTCAGGCCAGTCAGCCTAGCTCCAGATTCAGGGCAAGACCCTTCCTCAAAAGATAAGGTAGACAATAACAGATAAATCAACCCCACATAGACCCACAAGGCTGCACGTGCACCTGTGCATACACGTGCATATGCATAATATATACCAGACACACACAAAACCCCTCCCTGCCCTCAGCACCCATAAAGCACCCTTGAACTCTCCACCTTGTGTTCACTTTCTGCCAGGCAGGATAGACCCTCTACAGAGGCAGCATGGAGAGATGTTTGCACATTGCCCTGGTTCATGAATTAACTGTGGTCAACCTGCAACTTGTGGAGAAAAAAAAAGCGGGGGAGGGCTTCAGCCCAAAGAATAACACACCAGAGCTGGAAATAGGTGTGAGAAAAGCACAGGGGTCATAGAGTGGAGTACCAGCCCTGCTGCAGAGCGCTGTCAACAGCTCCTATCCCAGGCATAGGGAGCAAGGATAAGATTTCTTAGGCCCACAAAGACAAAAAGACAACAGTTTTTCTGCTCTTGCGGATATGCAGATGGTGACAGTTAAACTCCCCCTAAAGCTGGCACCTTTGGTTGTGTGGGAATGAAGCAAGATTCGAAGGTGAATGCGATCCTACCAGCATGTTGGTTATCAAAGCAGAACCTCACTGGATGCTCCTGTGTGATCTGCCCCAGCCCTGCTCCACCGCCAGCCCACCCCCACACCACACACATTTAGTGTGAATTTAAAATGACGTCCTGTGCAGAGCCAAGCACACATCCCCGTAGATGTCTGTGGAATTGATCTGAGTGTGTTAGAGAAAGGTGGTTGGGCGGAATTCTTCCTGGAATGTACTCACATGCTAAGTGTCTTTCTGTGATTAATTGTTCTGTTCTCTAGGATTTAAAAACTTGCCTCTTGAGGACCAAATTACCCTCATCCAGTATTCTTGGATGTGTCTATCATCGTTTGCCTTGAGCTGGAGATCGTACAAACATACGAACAGCCAATTTCTCTATTTTGCACCAGACCTAGTCTTTAATGAGTAAGTACCTATTAATTAGCCCTCATAAAACAAACTGCAGAATTATTTGTTATGCTGTTGTTTAAAATAATCTCTAAGCCAGATGTACAAGTGTGAAAGAATCTTCTGAAACAAGCATTTTTAAGGGTTTAAAAAAAACATTGAATTTTGAAAAACTTAAAAATCACTCTTTACAATGGTATAACATACACATGTCTAAGTAAATCAGTATATGTAACTCCTACATCATGTATGTGGGAATCATCCCAAAAGAACGAGGATCCAGTTGGCTCTGAGAACTCACCTGGTACAGTGCCATGATTAATAGAAAGCATTCTCTTTGCTATCTGCTCCGATTGAAAAGAAGCTCATTTCTAGGAAGCGTGAATCTTTAAAGTGCCAGTTTTTGAGAGCATCATAGAAAGATTCTTTTGTTAACTGTACACAGCTGCTCGATGCGTTTTCATGACAATCATAATTACCCTTCCTTTCAATCATAAAAGAAGCCAAAACCTTATTCTGCAGTGGAACATTTTTTCATTTTATGATGCATTTTAAAAGGCTGAACAAATTCTAGTCAGATTTTTCCTTGACTGTGAATGCCTTCCTATTTTAAGTTAACATTTTATTAGTGTTTGCATTTCACATTAGCACATTTCTTATATGTTTATATTCACCTGTGCCTCTTTGTAATTGTTGGGTCAAAAAATGTTTAAAAGGGAGCACTGAGATTATGAGAGTAACCACAGCCACCCTCTAACAGAAGTCTTTCTAGAGACATGAATATAGAGACTTCTAGAATGTGGGTATCAGATGATAAATGGGTAATGGTAAAGGAAAGAGACATCATGCCAGGATACCGCAGTAACCCCTGTTGTCATCTGCCGAGGAGCCCAGCTCACCTCAGTGCGGTTTGCCACCACAGGAATTTCATTCCAAAGAAAGTGTAAGAACATCACGGGCTCTTGAGACAACTCTGCTCTGGCAAGCCATCAGATTAATCCAAGCATAAATTTTCATTAAAAGTAAAGCCAATGAACTGGCATGCACATTTTAAATTTACTTGTTTTCCTCAATGATCAGCTGTTAAATATATTATTAAACAGTAAGCCCGCTTTTAAAGCACTCTAAGGACGGTCCTTGTAACAGGAAGTGTGGGTGCGCCTGAAGACCTGCATTTGATTTTGTTTAGAACAGATTAACCTCATCTGCCTAATCTTCCTAAGTATGTGTATCCAGTTTTCATAACTGTAAAATTTGCCATTTAAGTTAATACTTTGACGTGTGCTATTTCATAACCACCACCAGACTCTACTTCCAGCACTTTTTCCTCATTCCATGCTAACACTCCAAATATTTTGAGTGATAACTCTTCATTGACCTCCCTCTAAACTCTATGGACCTATAGTTTATGAGCCTACCTATATTCTAGGCATCATGTAGGAATGGAGCCATACAGTATTTGTGCTTTTGTGCCTGGCTGATTTTCACTGAGCACAATGTTGTCCATGTTTGCCCACACTGAAGCGTGTATTCAACCTCCATTCCTTTTTATGGCTTAACACTATTCCCTTCTTTGTTTGTGGTCAGTCCTCATTATTTATACATTCTCTACCTGTGGGTTTGCCTGCTGGTGGTTACATCCAGTTTTAATCTCACCATGATCACACACAGTATCTTAGCCATCATTCATAGCACATGCAGAATGCAAAATAAATAAGTCTCTAAAGAGTGCACATTGCAGCAGAGATCAAAAAAGACCGTCTTCTGCCTTTTGGTTTCAGCTCTGAGACTGTACGCCAGCTTCCTTTATGCTTTCTATTTTTTGCTACATTCTGTGCATCTTTATGCTTTTCTTGGTGATGTCCCTGTTTAAAATGGCCAGAGTGCAGTGCTGGTGTGCAGTCTGGGGCCACTGAGCTCAGCAAGGCTGGAATGATGCCATGTAGAGAAGAAAAACAAACAGTCATGAGCTGCATTGCTCTGGCCATGAGCTCTGTGTTAGTGAGCCAATGGAGCGTATTAAATAAGGTATCTGAGTAGATACACATGGAACAAGATTGTGTATAGAAGAGCTGAGAAAAAGTGTGCCTAGAGGTACAGTGGGGCTTGGCCCTCAGTTTCCCCTGGGGAAATAGCTCCATATTCACTGATTCCATTTGCCTTGCCTTCATAGAACATAGCTGTAGAAAATATCGGAAGCTGAGTGTCTGTGTGTGGCCCTTTGCCACCTATGGTGGCTATGGTGGATGATGCACCGGTGGGCATGGGTACACAAATGCCCCTCAGGACATCTGTATCAGGAACTTTACTGTGACTGTGATCACACTCCCTGACAAAAACACCTTAGGAAAGGCAGAGTTTATTTTGGCTTATGGTTCCAGAGGGACAGAGTCCATCGTGTGAGGAAAGGCATGGCGGCAGAAGGGAGTGGGCTGGCATATAGGCAACAGAGAAAAGGAACAGGAAGTGTGGTAAGGCCTCGAGTCCCTCCCCTGAAGATTTACTTCCTCCAGCAAGGCTCCACCTTCCAATGGTGTCATAACCTCCCTAAACAGTGACACCAACTGGGACGCAAATAGGAAAACACACAAGCCTCTGGGGGACATTCTCATTCAAATCTCCACAATTATCTGCTCTTGTTTTCAATTCCTAAGACCATATACTTTAGAGTAGAGCCTCTGGGCACATGCTAATTCTGCATTGAACTTTTTTGAGGACTCCTCAAACTGTATACACAGAAGTTGTAACATTTTTACAGCCCACCAACTGAAAACAGGTTTCCAATTTCTCCATGTTCATGCCAATACTTTTTCTTTTGAATATTCATCCTACTAACTATGATCATTCATTATAGTTGGGCCTTGCATTTCCCTGGCAACTGGTGGTGTTGGGCAATCTTGACAGGCCATTGATGTATTTTCTTTGGAGAAATGTCAGGTCAAGGCTTTTTCCCATTTTTACTTTACATTGATTGTCATGTTACTCTTTGCTTGTGGTCCTTTATCTGTTCTGAATGTAAAATCTTTATATGATGATTTGTAGTTATTTACTCCCATCTGTTAATATTTTTCCCCACTTTTTGAAAGTAGAAAGTGTTTTTTTTTTTATTTGTTTATTGTTTTTGAGATAGAGCTCATGTATCCCAGGCTAGCCTTAAGCTCACTGTGAGCTTAGGAAAACCTTGAATTCTTGATGTGTCCTGAGTGCTAGAGTTGCAGACACACCGCCAGTTTGTACAGTACTGGGCACTGGATTCAGGACTTCATGTGCACTAGGCAAGCACTTTACAACTGAACCACATACCCATTCCTCAATGGTACTTTATGAATCACAGATGTTCTTAATTTTATGAAGTTGAATTCACCTTTGTTTCCTTTTGTGTCCTTTGCTTTTGATGCCAAATATTAATATAAAAATGTATGCAACATCAGAAGATAAAATGTCCAACCAAGAGCCCAAGGAGAACCCCTTTGAACACATGAAAGTCAGGGGGAAAACATCTTATTTTTGAAGGTTTAACTGGTTCCTTTTGTTGGTTTCAGACTCTGACAGTCTTTTTTTTTTTAATCTAGTACCTAGCCTTGAGCCTGAGCATAGTAGCTGCTCTGTAAATATTTTGTGGGTAGATTAAATATTGAACAAATTAACCCACCAGTCTAATAACTGGCCTGAAGGGGTTTTTCAGAATTCACATTTCTGGTTACAAGAAAGAAGGTTGTGGGAGAGAAGTGTGATACACAGCTGTGGTGTCTGTAAACAGGGGCACTGATGTACTTACAAGAGGAACAAAACATGGTAGGTGCTTGCCTGGGTTAGCCTTTGAAATGAGTCTCAGGTTGTCTAACGATCTTATCCTTCAGCTCCACATTAGCAATATTGAGCTGGAGGGGAGGCAGGAAATGGAGAATAATAAAAGAAACATTCTTTCCAATTTTTTTCATTAAACACTGAAGTGAAAATATGAGTTAATACTTTAGCACAGAACTTTTCTTATTATAAACTCAAAACTTTTCAGATAAGTATTAAATGATTAATTATTCAATTCTACCTTGAAACAATACAGTATATATTGCCTCAGATCACTGCAACTATTCAAATTTCTTATCAGTTCAACACACATATTAAAACTCACACTTAAGCTTGTAATGAAAGTTTTTCTTTTGCTTTTTTTCTTCCTCCTCCTCCTCCTCCTCCTCCTCCTCCTCCTCCTCCTCCTCCTCCTCTTTCTCTCCTCCTCCTCCTCTTCCTCCTCCTCCTCCTCTCCTCCTCCTCTTCCTCCTCCTCCTTCTTCTTCTTTCCCCCTGAAATTAAGATTTGGTATTTCAGTCAATTTCTTTAAAGCCTTGACCAATATTTAAAAAATAGAAGTCTGTTGAAGACATATGCAATCTCTCTCGAAAGCTACTGCCTGTCTTCTGAGCCTTGTGTTATTGTGGTCCTAAGATTGTTGGAGAGAGCAATGGAGTGGTAGGTGTTGGTGCTACCTCTCCAGCCTCTTCTAGTGACTCTGAGTGGATCTCTAGGGAAGAAAGGTCATTCCAGTGGATGTGGCAGAAGTGAAGTCAACCCACATCTTCCTAGACTACTGACTGACAACTCACACTTCCTTACTGTGATGCTGTGTGCCCTTAGAACAGACAGCTCAACAATCAATCATTTCAGGTGATGTTTTCATAGCACCTTGATCCCTTTCAAGTTCCTGGTCGCTAGGTCACTACACTGACATTTTACACTTGTCCTCAGTGATAGTTCTCTTCAGCCATCCTCCCAACAAACAGTGCCTGCGTGCCCCCTTGCACCCAACACTCTGGAACTTCAAGAGGCCTGGCTGAGAGTCCTTTTCACTCTCACCTTCCTCTCACAGATAGCTGCGTTTGAGACTCCTAAGAAAAACAATGCCATAAGTCGAAAGTGGTCACTCACTATCTGCAGAGGACAGGCATTGCCACTTTGAAATGAGAGTAATCTTTGCCACAAAATTAGACTACAGTGGGATTGTACCTGAAGGCAGAGGTTAG